GCTACCTCCTGAAATGGGTGAACATCAACCAACTCTGCTAGCCTTCTGGTTAGCAGTCAAATGCCTTAGGCACTACACCACCAGAGCTCCCTTTTTTGACTCAGTATTCCTTCCAGATTTTCTTTTGGTGGTTCCTGCATCAGTCATTATTTTGCTCTCGGAATGCAATCTGGATTTTTTCTTCAGTTCTTTCAGCTTGAGAAATCCTGAGCTATTCTCCCCTTTAGATTTTGTAACTCCAGGTCCTTACACATTTCATTATAATACTTTACTTTGTCTTCTTGAGCTGCCCTTTGAAATCTTCTGTTTAGCCTTTTACTTCATCATTTCTTCTATTCATTTTAGCTACTCTCTGTTCAAGAACAAGTTTCAGAGTCTTTTCTGACATCCATTTTGGTCTTTTCTTTCTTTCCTGTCTTTTCAATAACCTTTTGCTTTTTTCAGGGATGATGTCCTTCATGTCATCCCACAACTCATCTGATCTTCTGTCACTGCTGTTCAATGCAATAAATATATTCTTCAGATGGTCTCTAAACTCAGGTAACATATACTCAGGGTTGTACTTTGGCTCTTGTGGTCTTGTCTTAATTTTCTTCAGCTTCACCTTCAACTTGCTTATGAGCAACTGATGGTCTGCTCCACAGTCAGCCCCTGACCTTGTTCTGACTGATGATATTAAGCTAACCACAGATATAATTGATTTGATACCTGTGTATTACATCTGGTGTCATCCATGTGTATAGTTACCATTTATGTGGTTGAAAAAAAGGAATTTGCAATGAATGTCATTGGTTGTGCAAAATTCTGTCATCCAATTTCCAGTGTCATTTCTATCACCAAGGTCATATTTTTCAACTACCAACTCTTCTTTGTTTCAAACTTTTGAATCCCAATCACCAGTGATTACCAATATATCTTTTTTTTTCTTTTATTGTGATTTGGGTGAAAGTTTACAGAACAAATTCACTTTCCATACAGCAGCTCACATACACATACACATATACTTTGTCTCATGACATTGACCACAATTTACCACAATGCGACAGCTCCCCTCCCACTTCTTCCCCTTAGTTACCTCTTCCCTGTGTCCTTCCCTCCATGCACTCCTGCCTCCTGAGCTATGTTCCTGTGCATACCTAGCCCTTCTATTCTCCCATGATTTTTCTGTCCAAGGAGTGTATCTACCGACTGTAAATGTTCACCTCATATGCCTGTCTTTTGTTTGGCTGGAAGCCACAGGTGTGGGTTCAATTCCAGACCTAAATGGCAACTAGGGGCCATAGTCTCAGTGGTCCCACCAGGCTCTATCAGACCAGCAAACCTGGGCCCCTTTTTTTTCCAAATGATTTTGAGTTTTGTTCCACGTTGTTCTCCAGGATCTCCTACAAAGATCCTTCTCTGAGTGGTTGAGAGTGGTAGGTAGGCACCATCTAGTTCTTCTGGTCTCATAGTCGTATAGGTAGAGGATTGCATGAGACGACCAATACATCTTGATTGCATGGTTAGTCCGTTTCAGAGTGCAGAAATTGGTAAACATCTTCAAGTTCTTCATCTATCTCTTTAGTATTTGATACATAAATTTGAATAATAGCAGTATTAACATGTCTTCCCTGGAGGCATATGGATATTATCCTATCACTGATAGCACTGTGCATTGGGAAAGATCTTGAAATGTTCTTTTGGACAATGAACAATGCCATTCTTCTTCAGTTTTTAATTCCTGGAATAGTAGACTGTATAGTTGTCTGATTCAAAATGGCCAATACCAGTCCATTTCAGCTCACTAATGCTAGGATATCAATCTTAATGCATTCCATATCATTTTTGGCAACTTCCAATTTTCTTAGATTCATACTTTGTACGTTCCATGTTCCAATTATTAAGAGATGTTTGTTGCTGTTTCTTCTCATTTCAAGTCATGCCACATCAGCAAATGAAGGTCCATTGTTGTTGTTATGTGCCGTCGAGTCGGACCCAACTCATAGCGATCCCTCCTTGGGTTTCCAAGGCAGTATCACTATGGAATTAGATTGCCCCATCTTCCTTCCAAGGAGTGGCTGGTGGGTTTGAACTGCCAGCCTTCTGATTAGCAGTCAAGTGCCTTAGCCACTATGCTACCAGAGCTCCCTAATGAAGGTCCAGAAAGCTTTATTCTACTCATGTCATTAAGGTCAATTCTACTTTCAAGATTCACAGTTGTATTTTGAGTTCCTTCCAACCTTAGGGGCTCATTTTCTGGCCCTATATTAGGCAATGTTTTGCTACTATTCATAAGGTTTTTAGCAGCCAATTTTTTTTTCAGAAGTGTTTCTGGCCACATTCCTCTTCCTAGTCTGTCTTAGTTTGGAAACATGTCTGAAACCTGTCCAATATGGGTGACCCTGCTGGTATTTGAAACACCAGAGGTATACATGCCAGTATCACAGCAACACACAAGCCACCAGAGTACAAAAAACTGACAGATGAGCAGTGGAACTACCATATTAGCCAATTGTTTTTCTCTGCATGGCAATTATTAGTATTCACTACATTCCTTGTTTATGTATTTATCATTTGTTTTTAAAACATCATTATCTATATTTTTCCCTCATTAGATCCTAATCTGGGTCTATCTTTTCCACCACTGCATTCCTAGAACAGGGCCAATCAAATAGTAGGCACTCAGTTAATTGAATTAGAGAATGACTGAAAGGCTATCTTAAAAATAGAGCACAAAGGGAAGTAGAAGACAATTTGGTGTTCTGTGGACAACTCAATGCTTTTTTATAATAAGAAGACTAACATTTATAATTTTAAATCTTATTTGCTCTTGAAAGCAGAGACTCTATGAAAAATACTCAAAATCCTCTGCCTGACCTTGTAAATTGGAAGATGAAATTTCTTCTGGGATGAGCTATGTGGTCCTCTATTTGGAAACATGGATATCTTGTACAGAATTTGGTAGAGTAGAAGGAGAACAGACAGTACATTTGTCAGGAAGGAGCCAGGTCCTGCTCTGGGACATCACTGCAGGACTCAGAAGGAAGGGGTGTGCTGAGTCATAGACAACTGCTAAGATTTACTGAGATGCACTCTCACCAAGCACTGTTCAAACACTTCATATGGAGTAACTCATTTCACTTTCATGATTACCTAGGAGTTAGTTACTATTGCTGTTCCAATTTTACAGGTGAGTAGACTGAGGCACAGGAAGGTAAAGGACCTGGCCCCAGGTTATATAGCCAGTTATTGGCAGGGTTTGGATTTAAGTCCTGGGAGTTTGGCTCAGGAGACTGCACTGTCTATAGCCTTGCAGATGGCAGATAATCACAGAAGAATAAACACCCCCCCCCCCCGAAAAAACAAAACAAAACAAAAAAATGCATTGCCATTGATTTCAACTCATACTAGCCCTATAGGACAGAGTAGAACCATTCATAGGGCTTCCAAAGCTGTAATTTTTTTCCCTGTGTCCTTCACTCCCATGCACTCCTGCCCCCCATGCTATTTCCCTGTGCAAGCACTGCCCTTCTGTTCTGCCATGATTGATCAATCCAAATATATCTACCTGATGTAAATGTTCATCCCACATGCCTGTCTGTTGTTTGGCTGGAAGTCACAGGAGTGAGTTCAATTCCAGACCTGAAGAGTAGCTAGGGGCCATAGTTTCAGGGGTCCCACCAGGCTCTATCAGACCAGCAAACCTGGTAATTTTTTCTTATGATTTGGAGTTTTTTTCCACATTGTTCTACTATATCCAGGATCTCCTGCACTGATTCCCCTCCAAGTGGTTGACAGTGGTAGCTGGGCACCATCTAATTCTTCTAGTCTCATGGTCATATAGGCTGAGGATCACATGGTCTACTAGTCCCTTGCACTAATTGTTTCCATG